GTCACTTCTGTTCTAGAGATTTTGCTTGCAGGCCGCGGGTCGGTCACTTCTGTTCTAGAGATTTTGCTTGCAGGCCGCGGGTCGGTCACTTCTGTTCTAGAGATTTTGCTTGCAGGCCGCGGGTCGGCCACTTCTGTTCTAGAGATCTTGCTTGCAGGCCGCGGGTCGGCCACTTCTGTTCTAGAGATTTTGCTTGCAGGCCGCGGGTCGGCCACTTCTGATCTAAAGATCTTGCTTGCAGGCCGCGGGTCGGTCACTTCTGTTCTAGAGATCTTGCTTGCAGGCCGCGGGTCGGTCACTTCTGTTCTAGAGATCTTGCCTGCAGGCCGCGGGTCGGTCACTTCTGCTCTAGAGGCAACTAAAATTACAGGGGTTTTTTTTCGTTTATTATTGTGTTGTTGCTTTTTTTAAACGACGATTTATAAAATTATTATGATCTATTAAAGTGTTTCCCAAAGTGACTGTTTCCAGTCGAACTGACCCCAGTCATCGCTGTTTTTCATTAATATTTTTTTCTTCATATAGAATATAGTGCGAGACTCGCCGGTGAGTCTTTTTAAAGCCGCGCTACTTTCACTTTCAGATCGGTGGCCCTGTATTGGAAAGTGAACATCGATTAAAAGAAATCGAGACTTTTTTTGGGTTGAAAATTTATCTAGAAGCAAAACTATACTACCGGTATATACAAACTTAGAAGGTCATTACTTGAGAGTTCTATAACTTTCTTTTTGAAAACAACAATACAATAAAATTAAATCTTCCGATAAAAAAAAGGGGGGGGGTGGGGGAACTGGCTTAGTCCCTTAAAAACACGCCTCTTTTGTGTGTGTGCGTGCGTGCGTGTGTGTGTGTGTGTGTGAACTAAGGATGACGTGGTCATTTACAAATTATAACTGTATGACGTGGATTGAAAGACCTATTGTTATATACCCTTGGGCGTGTCAGTGGTACCAAGCGACAGAGTTAAGTCGCAGTTGGATTTCTCTATAAGAACAACAGCAGGATTGCGCTCGGTCCACTTGAAGATCCAGACGCCATGAAGACCAATAAAATGTTTGTAAGTACTCAAGTCTTTTTCTTCTACCATTTGATAAAGAATGTGTGTTTTCTTGTCAATTAGACGTTGACAGACTTTAGTAATCCTGTGGTCGCGGTGGCTGATTCCATCTATAGGTACACTGGATGGATTTTATCCCCCGTGGGGAGCAAAGAGAAAGACGGTTTAGCTCGTGGCGTAACTAAGCTGACTTAACACATATGCATATTTTTGGTTAGGTGTTTGTCCATTAAAGACTACCCAAAAATAATGGCCATTATTATTTTTTTTTTTAAATGGTCAATCTTGTGAACTAGATTTAGGGGCGTGAGTTTTTGGCATAGAAAAGTGTGTTTGGTGTAGAGAGTATATGTGTAGCTGTATCTATGTTCTGGGATTTTTCTTTGACGTATTTGGGTTAGGGGGAAATGACGTGTTCGTTGGTGTTATGGTTTTGGAATGATAGCAGTGATGGAGTGTTAGCTTAACGGAGTTTTATATTCCATAAAGAGATTATATGTTCAAATGAATCAATGGTTTGTTGAGTAATTGTAACCCGTAGACAACGGAGTTACTGAAGTGGCATTTATCTCATTGTAACATTCAACGATAGCCTGGGCCGATCAAAATTATACATATAGTAAGCATTACAAATTGATCTACAAAAAGAAAGGATCATTCAAGAAATTAAGCAAGAATAATGTTCTCCATTCTGAGCATGTCAGTTAAACTTGTGAACTTGGCAGTTAAACTTGTGAACTTGGCAGTTAAACTTGTGAACTTGTCAGTTAAACTTGTGAACTTGTCAGTTAAACTTGTGAACTTGTCAGTTAAACTTGTGAACTTGGCAGTTAAACTTGTGAACTTGTCAGTTAAACTTGTGAACTTGTCAGTTAAACTTGTGAACTTGTCAGTTAAACTTGTGAACTTGGCAGTTAAACTTGTGAACTTGGCAGTTAAACTTGTGAACTTAGCAGTTGAACTTGTGAACTTGACAGTTAAACTACTGAACTTGGCAGTTAAACTTGTGAACTTGGCAGTTAAACTTGTGAACTTTACAGTTAAACTTGTGAACTTAGCAGTTGAACTTGTGAACTTGACAGTTAAACTACTGAACTTGACAGTTTAACTTCTTAACTTGACAGTTGAACTTGTGAAATTGACAGTTAAACTACTGAACTTGACAGTTTAACTTCTGAACTTGACAGTTAAACTTTTGAACTTGACAGTTTAACTTCTGAACTTGACAGTTAAACTTCTGAACTCGACAGTTAAGCTTCTGAACTTGACTGATAAACCTCTTTTCAGGGCTCGACGTAGAGATTAAAGCCCCTTGGTGGAAATGTCTGCAGTTTTGGGACTTTGGCGCTGTAAAAGAGTGTCTGCGGGATGTCTTCTTGAGGTGACATTGAGGTGACATTCAGGTGACATTCAGGTGACATTCAGGTGGCATTCAGGTGACATTCAGGTGACATTCAGGTGACAGACGCCTTTACAAAATGTACTAATTGTTAAAATTTAAAAGACATATCCAAAGAAAATGATGTGTTGTTTTTTTTTAAATGCTCCGTGCTTTGAGGACTTATCAGTCAAGTGAAAGACAATATTGACTTTAATTGAGACGATATACAAAACAAATCAATTTCAGGTTGTTTTTTTCAAGCGTGGATACTATCATCTGGTTGTACTACTTAAGTATTTTATCAAATAACGAGAAAACGAAAAAAAAATATCGTGTCGATTCGATTGTCTATAAAAGTTGAAATTAAAATTGTATTTTTTAAAAGATTTTTTTGTCTTTCTTATTACAATAAATTATTTTGAAAGCGAATAATGTTTGGTTTGTTATCTCCCCCCCCCCCCCCCCCCCC